CAAAAAATAAAGAATTGAGGTGCGTGAGAGTAAAGGAAAACAAGTTGCCTAGAAAAAAGTGGTCATCAAACAACCTAAATAAGTGGAAATGGAAATCATTTTCCATTTTCTATGGAAAATATAAAATATCAAACAGGGCCTTAGTTGAGATTGATGCATTGAAGTTCTTGAGCGTCTCCCATCGAGCTGAATATGTTGGCAAATTCAATGGCAACTCTGCTTGAAGGTAATGATGCAACTCACTGACTTCACTGCATCCATTGTAGACTCGAGATCTCAAACCTTGGTTAATTTTCTATGGTACGACCATTTTGAGACATAGTAATATCTTTGTTGTTCGTCGCTACAACTTTTTCTTGTTAGTAAATTCCGAGTTTTGATGTTGATATAATCAAGTTCATTATTTTTTTTCCTTTGTCATCAACTGAATGAATAATTATACCTTTCGCAACTCTAATAAATTAGCCTATTATGTGCTACGTAGGTTTAGATGTGCTACTAAGGCTTGTTTGTCAGGAAAGTTCATACCCAGTGGCGTACTCAGCACCCGATGAGCCCTGTCCGCCCCACGTGCTGGATCTGCCGGAGCAGTTTTTTTATTTTTTACAATGAATAAACGTTTCAAATTATATACCTGTTAAGTTTTTTTATTTTCATAAATTTCTTGTACCTTAGCTGGTCAGAACTTGTATAATCACATGAAAAGTCCTAGTTTCGAATTCATTTCCCAACATTTTTATTATAAAGTATTTTTAATTAGACAATTTTTGCCAAAATTAAATAGAATAAGGGATGGAATTCAAACCCCTAACTTCAGGGTAAGATATGGAACACTTGACTATTGTGGAACTCTTGAAATTTGATATTAAATTTATCAAACTAATATATGTTACATTTTAGATATTCTAATGCAATTGTAAAAATTCGAACACGTGCTCTTCCTTTAAATTGTACAAAACTTGATCAAAATATCATTTGGTGAATATTGTTAATTTTTACAGCAAAATTATGTATGTTCAGCAAAATAATTGTTATATTTAAATTTTAAACCTTATTTGATTTCTTTTTTTTTTCAAAATACATTTCTCTTTTCTTTCAACTGCACATTTTTCAATAAAATAATATTACATACAAATTCAAATATTTTTCTTATTTTTAATCACACATTCCATCAAATCACTATTTCAAAATGCATTTTTTGCCCAAAAAAAAAAATAGGCATCAAAAGGGGCTCTTAGGGTGTGTTTGGTACACATTAAAATTTTCATTCTCATTCTTCTACTCATTTTCAACCACACATTCTTCATTAAAATAATATTTTCCATCACATCAATAACTTTCCTTTTTTTCAACCACACATTCTCCATCAATCTACTATTCTAAAATACATTTTTCCAAAATAATATCCATCAAACACACCCTTAATATTTTATTGCTAAAAACGGTCGACGATCCATGATCACTTATATGACTAGAAATCCTGGATCCGCCGCGGTTGATACCCTTGAGTTGAGACAAGTTCATTAGATATGTGAAGCTTAATTACACCGTACATTTTTCTCCTCAACTGCAGTTTTAGGAATAATTTAAAAAGCTTGTCCACGTATTAAGCAAATGCCAGGAAGGGGCCTTGTAACTACTTTTGGACACAAATATGCACAAAATAGCTTTCAACCACTACTTTGACTTTGGCTATAGAGGATTCTTAGGTCCAGAATATATAAATTAGTTTTAAATCGTTTTGTCAATCTTTCTTTTTTTTCAATGACTTCTGAATTGTCAATCCAGAATTTAAATCTTAAAAATTTAAGAAATTCTAATTCATCATTGAAGTGTGTAGAAATTTTAGAAGTGTGAATTGATTTCTGCTTCATCTCAATTTACTTCAAGGATTGACATTATTTTCATTTATTAGAAGGGCAGGTGCAAGTCACATGATTGACTTAACAACAAAGTTGACAAAAACGTTTGGAGGACTGACTTTGCCATTTATCAAATATTGGGAACAAAAATAAGACAAAAATACCTTATTTGATTTCTTTTTTTTTTTTTTCAAAATACATTTCTCTTTTCTTTCAACCGCACATTTTTCAATAAAATAATATTACATGCAAATTCAAACATTTTTCTTATTTTTAATCACACATTCCATCAAATCACTATTTCAAAATGCATATCTTGCCCCCAAAAAAAAAAAAAGGCATCAAAAATAGATCTTAATATTTTATTGCTAAAAACGGTCGACGATCCACGATCACTTATATGACTCGAAATCCTGGATCCGCCGTTGTTGATACCCTTGAGTTGAGACAAAGTTCATTAGATATGTGAAGCTTAATTACACCGTACATTTTTCTCCTCAACTGCAGTTTGAGGAATAATTTAAAAAGCTTGTCCACGTATTAAGCAAATGCCAGGAAGGGGCCTTGTAACTACTTTTGGACACAAATGTGCACAAAATAGCTTTCAACCACTACTTTGACTTTGGCTATAGAGGATTCTTAGGTCCAGAATATATAAATTAGTTTTAAATCGTTTTGTCAATCTTTCTTTTTTTTCATTGACTTCTGAATTGTCAATCCAGAATTTAAATCTTAAAAATTTAAGAAATTCTAATTCATCATTGATTAGTGTGTAGAAATTTTAGAAGTGTGAATTGATATCTGCTTCATCTCAATTTACTTCAAGGATTGACATTATTTTCATTTATTAGAAGGGCAGGTGCAAGTCACATGATTGACTTAACAACAAAGTTGACAAAAACATTTGGAGGACCGACTTTGCCATTTATCGAAGATTGGGAACAAAAATAAGACAAAAATTGATTAGGGACAAGATTATTACTTTTGTCGAAGGTTGGACTAAATATGCAACTTACCCTGAAAAGAAAATGCATTTCGAGCACCAAAGCTAATGATCCTTTGGACGGAATCCATCCAAAAGGATCAAATGTGCCGAGAATGTAAAGCTTTTGGACCATCTCTGTCAAGTTTTAAATTGTAGACCAAAAACGTAAGATGGACAAACGTTTGAGACCTTTTACATCAATTTTTCAAATTAAGTGGATTTAACAAATAGGACGGGAAATGATTTTTAGTAATAGGAAATTGCCGTACAAAAATAGAGAAATTATTCTCTTGACTATTCAACATACACCATCATTAAGTTTAATTAAACAAATTTCTATATACAAAGTTTTTGGATAGATAAGAATTAGTCAATGATTTTTTAATAATAAATATATTTTCTTTTTTGTACAAATTAATAAATAAAATTCAAACCAAATAATCTCAAAGCAGCTAAATGCAACTAAATTAAATTTGTAAATAAAATATTTTTTCATACAAAACTATATTAAATATTCCAATTACCTCTTTTCAATGTCATAAAGTAATAAAAAGAGTTGGGAAGGCTCAATTCACTTAGCGATTGAAATATTTTCTACCGATCAATACAATATGAAACTCGACTTACCATGGACAAGTTAAAAAGGTTGACCTAAGCCAAGCCCATACAAATGATCCTCGAGTCCAAAGCAGATCATAGTCATACTTGACCTTACTGCTCGTTATATTTTTCATGTTCTATTGATTTGTGTGGTAATAATGTGTTAACTGAGTTAAATTGGACATTGAAACATAATATTTGTTTTTATTCATTTTTCTTCATTAATTTTAATCAATCTTATCCAATTAATAACCAGACATGCCTCGTAATTTTATAAGTTAAATTTTCAAGCTTAGATTTTGGATTAGAATTTGAAGATCTTGCGATTCCTTGCACATTAATCTTCTATAAATCATAGAAAACATATCAAAAAAATTACAAGAAAGATTTCGTTAAAGTGTGAACGCTTATGTCAATGAAGGTCAAAATAATTTCAAGTTCAAATTGGATTCATAGTAGTGGAAATCTTATTTTACAACTTGATTCTCCTTTTTGGTCCACAAGTTTTCACCTACCATTGGAGTAATTTTATTGTTCATAAATGATATTTCACTAATTGAGTGGTACAAATCTTTAATTTTCCAAATATATGATTCATTCAGTCCTCATTCTAATCCTGCTTTTGTATCTGTGTCTGTAGGCCAGCTGCCATAATGTGAGTTGGAGTATATACTGCTTCTTGCTTGTCAATGCAAAACCATGCGTCATTCAGTCGAAAATTCCTGAAAGTAGTATAGAGTTTCTTTCAAGGATAAAGCTATTTGTACACCATGTGTACGTACACATGTCTCACATGAATAGTGTGCGCGAATATTTTATTATGTGTAGGACCCTCTCCATATGAGGGGGGTGTAAAAGATTGTATGAATGATTATGTACATGCAGAATGATTGTTCTTTCAATTATTGGCTTCAGATTAGGAAGCTTCTATTTTTTGCAACCTCACTAATTTTTAATTTGAAAAAATAGTTATCTTTCTAATCTATAAATCGAATGTTGAAAGCGCATCCACCAATTTTCTTATTCTTCTTAAAAGCAGGTCATTTATAGCTAATGATTGAAAACCCACCTCGATTGGTTTCTTCTATGTGGTGCTTAACGTCGATGAAAGCCAGTAGGAAGTACATCTTGCTTGGAAACTTCAGGACTTTCCATTGAAGTAGGGAAAGCGGGATGAAAGTTTTGAGCCCTGCACATGTTTTGGCCCTATTTTTTAAAATTTATTTTTTGAGACCTCATAATTTTTATCAAACTTTCAACCAAACATTTTCAAAATTTTCTAAAAATCCTAATTTTTTATACATAGGTCACATGGCTTGCAATTATTTATTGACAACTCATACATGGCTAATTCAGACAATTCTAACGTTTACCCTTCCATCTGACACGCTTTCTTTTTTGGATCATCCGATATAAAACAGACTAAGCATAACCACACATTAAATGGACCAAGTCTAGGTTTAACACAAAACATACATTTTTTTTTCCTTGTCTATCCTCCTTCTACCAACACCACCACCACCACCACCTCCTCCTCCTCCTCCTCCACCATCATGGTGGTCAAGCTTCAATCTGATCAGCTCACTCAGCTGAAGGACATCTTTGACAGGTTCGACATGGACCGCGACGGTAGCCTAACCCAGTTGGAGATGGCTGCCCTCCTCCGATCCCTCGGCCTAAAACCTAGTGGTGATCAAATCCATGTCCTCTTAGCCAACATGGACTCTAATGGCAATGGCTCTATCGAGTTCGAAGAGCTGGTCGATGCCATATTGCCCGACCTGAATGAAGAGGTTTTGATCAACCAGGAGCAATTAATGGGCGTTTTCCGTTCATTTGACCGTGATGGAAATGGTTACATAACCGCAGCCGAACTCGCGGGACAAATGGCGAAAATGGGACACCCCTTAACCTATAGGGAGCTAACTGAGATGATGCAAGAGGCTGATACAAATGGTGATGGAGTCATAAGTTTCAATGAGTTTGCTAATATAATGGGAAGATCAGCTGCTGATTTCTTAGGCCTAACCCTCTCCTAGCCCAAGATTCTTTGTGGGTATATTCAAGTTCCGGACAAGATTGGAAAGTAAAATTAACAATATTGAGCGCTATCTAACCTTTGTTACCAAACATGTCATAGATTGTTCATGTACTTGTTATATTTTTTCTTCTCTCTTTGTTGTATTTTCACTTTATTTTATTACTTATTATTTGTTTAAGGTCATGTGTAGGTCTTTTAATGTATATGATTATAATTTTATTACTGTCAATTTTGCGGGCTCACCAGTTAGGATCTTTCACTGCTTGAGCATAGGTGGTAGGTTCAACAATGATTGAAATGGAAGAAGAGAAAGCCTTGAATGAAGGAGAGAAAAGATCATACGATAAATAATCATGTAAAGAGAATGAGCAAGTGGAATGATGAGGAGATACCAGAACCTGTGAGTGAGATGGGGGAGTCACGGTAGCCTGTTGACAGTGGAAATCCCGTAAATAACTAGGAGCAGCCCTTGTTCTTGTGGACCTACGTAGGTCAGGTTGAGGAGAATGAGGTGAAGGGGAAGAGGCAATACTCTCAGGTGGTGGGATTGAAGGTGAAGGTCGAGATGCCTGGGTTTGTTGATAATCAAAAAGGTCAGGAAGAGGATAGGTGAAGACCGGGAAAGGATTGGTGTTTTCTGAAGCAGAGTGAATGAGTTGTTGTGAAAGAAAAGGAAAAGTGTGCTCGTGAAAAATGACATTTCTAGAGACAAAGGTAGTATTGGTGGTAAGATCGAGAAGCTTGTAACCTTTAACTCCATAAGAATAGCCTAAGAAGATGCATTGTCTCCCCCTAGGATCAAACTTCTTGCGGCCATGGGTAATGGTAGTGGCATAACAAAGGCATCCAAAAATTCGAAGATGATTGTAAGTAGGTGTGACAGAAAATAAGACTTCATATGCTGATTTATTGTCAAGAAGAGGTGTGGGAGTTCTATTAATGAGATATACAGCAGTAAGGACGCAATCATTCCAAAAATGAAGGGGCAAACCAGATTGGAAACGTAAGGATCGAGCCACATTTAGGATATGTTGGTGTTTCCTTTCAACTATTCCATTTTGTTGAGGAGTCTCCACACATGATCTTTGGTGGATAATACCCTTTTTGTTAAAAAATTCTATCATTTGGAACTCAGTACCATTGTCACTTCGAAGAGCCTTGATTTTAGTGGCAAATTGGGTTTCAATAAGATTGTAAAAAGATTCAATACACCTTCTAGTTTCAGACTTAGTTTGGATAAGATAAACCCAAGTAGTTCGTGAAAAATCATCTACTATGGTCAAGAAATAACGAGTTCCATCATAGGCTGGGGTTGAACAAGGCCCCCAAAGGTCACAATGTATCAAGTCAAATATGGCAAGTGACTTATGGTGGCTAACAGAGAATGGGAGTTTTTTTTGCTTTGCAATAGGACAAATAGAACAAGGAACATTTATATTAGCATTTAAACTGTCTTTTACAGCAGGATCATCAATTAAAGCTAGTCTAGATCGTGAAAGATGACCAAGGCGACAATGCCAGAGGTCAGATATATAACTTCCAGCTGCAACTGAAGTAGAAACAAATGAAAAAGGGGGATTCAAAAAAGGTAAAGCTGCTGTAAAGGCATTTTGAGGTACTTCCACTGTCACTAGATGATAGAGGCCATTCTTGAGCTCACCCATCCCAATCGTGGTCCAGGTGGAAAGGTCCTGGATGAAGCAACAGTTTGACAAGAAAATTAAGCAGCAAGTTAGTGAATCTGTGAGCTTCTTAACAGAAAGTAAATTGAAGGAGAATGTTGGTACACATAAAACATTAGTAAGGAGGATGTTTTTTGTTACTTGCACATTACCCAAATGAGTGACAGGAATATAATTGCCATTAGGTAATTTAACTGAATATGAGACTTCTGAAATCATGGAAGAAAAATGAGAAGTGCTGCAGATCATGTGATCTGTAGCACCTGAGTCAATTATCCAAGGTTTATCAGTGAAGGACATACATTTTTTGCTAAAAGAAGAGAAACAGTGAGGTATACCAGATATTTTAGAAGCCTTAGGCTCGGAAGAGGCTGGGTGATGGATGACCTGTGCATGATTTACAGAGGGAACAGCAGTGAAGAGATCCTTGTGCTGAAGCAAGGACATTAGTTGCTGATATTGATCCTTAGTGAAGCTCATTTTGTCCTCACAGTTTTCCTGTGTATTAGAGGAATCATCTGATGAATTGACCTGGTTAGAACATGGCTTGGTGTCCTTTTCTTTGAACAACCTATGTCCTGGAGGGTAGCCATGTATCTTAAAACACTTGTCAATGGTATGACCAGTTAGATTGCAGTAAGTGCAGAGAGGGGCTGGTGCATTGCCTATCTTGAAACAATTGGTAAGAGAATGTCCCTGTAGTTTGCAATGACTACAATATGGCCTCTCCTTTCTTCCATTCAAGAGGGGCTTAGAAGTAGGTTTGTAATTAGAATAAGTAGCTTTGGTCATCAAGGCCATAGTCTCAGGATTTGGGAAGGCAGAAATAATGTTGTGCTGTTGTTCTTGCTGTTGAATTAGGGAAAAAACCTTGTTGATCTGAGGGATTAGGTCAAGCAACATGATCTGGTCTCTAGTGTTTGCATATTTATCGTTCAAACCCATAAGGAATTGAATGACATTATCCCTTTGATGTCTCTCAGTAATAACAGTTAATTTTCCACAGGTGCAAGTTGGTATGGGATCATAGACAGCAAGTTCATCCCAAAGAGTTTTGAGTTTTCCAAAATAAATACTCACAGATTCATTTTCTTGTCGCAGGCTTGCTAGATTCCTTTTCAATTGGAAAATTCGAGGCCCATTTTGCTGGGTGAAGCGGAGTTGAAGTTCATTCCATACTTCTTGTGCATCATCCACAAAAGCAACACTGGATTTCACTGCAGGACTGATGGAGTTCTGTATCCAAGAGACAACCATGTCATTGCACCTCTCCCAAGCATCGAGTAAAGAGTCTTCAGGATCAATCGGCCTGTGAAGGTTTCCGTCGATAAATCCAAGCTTATTCCTCGCTCAAAGAGCTCGACGCATAGCCCATGACCATGTGACATAATTATCAGAAGTTAACAAATCTGTAACTAATATAACAGTGGTACTATCCCCATGATCAACCCGGTAAGGAATGTTTGGGTCAGCGAAATTGAGGAAAGAAGAATTGGATTTTGATTTTGGAGCAGCAGAATTTAATTCAGCAGAAGCCATAGCCTGCGAATCTGTTGATTGTTCTTCCATGGAAATGAAGGGGAAGAAACAAGAAAAAAAAATTGAGCCTAGAGCTCTGATACCATGTAAGAAAAGAAGGGAGAGCTTCTGTGCTCTATTTCATTGAATAATCATCAATTGAATTACCATGCTCTACTGTAGGTAAACTATATATATACAAGATTCTAACCATGTAACAAAAAGGGANTAGGTCTTTTAATGTATATGATTATAATTTTATTACTGTCAATTTTGCGGGCATGTAAGTTTTTACTGTTCAACTTACTGCAACGTCCCCCCTCGTGTTATTTGAAGTGAGACGGACAATAAGGAAATGTACATATTGTGCAGATCTACAAATTTGTCTGTGAAAAGATCAACCGTCATTGAAAGAGCAGGGAAAGTAGAGATAATTCATTCTTTATTGCTCGACTGTTTACAAAATGCAAAATCTTGATAGAGAATTAGGATAAATAGAGAAATCCTGATCTCTTTCTTATTACTGATTCTATATTACAGCATATGTCTCTCTATTATGTACAAAAAAGAAAGAATCAACATCAAACTATGTTCCTATGCTAGTATCAAAATTCACAAACTTTTGGAAAACTTTCTGCCAGTACAATATGTGGCACATCTGAATTCTACCTCTGTAGACCTTTTACTCGTAAATAGACCGGCCCTGCAATATGTGAAGTGAAGGCAGTTCTAAATGGTACACGCGCAAATGTAATCCCTAATTATGACTTCCAATCTCCAATGGATTAGTTCTTGCCAGTGAACGAGCAGTAAAACCGACGGTAGTGGAACGTATTGATCTCTGTTTCACTATTTTGCAGTATTCTAGATCATCAAATCGCCCATCGTGTCTTATCCATTGTATCATCCCGTGATACATTGGGAAGAAACGCATCTGAATTGTGTTGTACACAAAGTAGGGGGTCAGGGCTGAGATAACCACGAAGATAGTTATTATATAGAAAGAGGGTGTTGGGGCAAGAGATTCGACGAAGACTTTATACGCAGTTGTGGAAATGCTGGGAGGCATGGCTCCATATGCCAAGAGGAAAAGATACCATAGAGCGATTCCACCCCAAATAACAATATGCTGGATTAAGGTGAAATAACTGATGGCTAGTGCCATCTGGCAGTTCACAACCCAAACGACACAGGTGTACATTGTTGCCCCGAGAATTTGGTACCCGGCTACTTGTCCGTCCTTCTTGAAGGCCTGTGGATCTAGTGCCTTCGTACATAAGAAGAAGATAATGACGGCACTACAAAGACCATTTAACATCCAGCCAATTATACGACGCCAGCTGAAGAGAACATTCTGCACACCTTCTTGGTACAGCATAGGAAACTGCCATGTGAAACCAAGCAAAGAATGAGAACTGATAAAGGCGTAGCATCAGAAAAATTTTGACTTAGTGTTGTACTAGGTAAAAACATACCTTCAGACAATATCTAGCAGATACATCCTGGTCGAAAACCCCCAGAGCAATCACAGGTAGTGATGTAAAGAACACATTATAGAGGGATAAAAACCAGTCGTTGTATGCAGGCTGTCCAGAGAACGATGCATATGCCTCATATAAGAAGACTGTGAAACCAAATGTGACGTTCTTATAGAAGAAGTAGCAAATCTGCACAAAGAAGTACGTAGAAACTCAAATGACTTCCGAATGCAAAAGGGTTTCAAGCAATTTTTGAAATTCAAATTATTTATTTTTATCTCAGTAAGGATAGATATAAATCTTCTGTGGAAATTAAGAAGTTCGATGAAATTAATTATGAGTGTATTACCATTGAAGAGATTCTTCTGTAACACCAATGTCCATGCACCAAAAGCAGACGCTCCAGAAATCTGAACTGTGCAATGGCAATATCGCTTGACATGACTGCCTAATTTATTTGGAAGAAAAACGATATAAGAATAAAAATATCAGATTATATTCGAATTAAGTTTCTGAATTATGACTAATAAACCATTAGTTTTTTCACCTGCATTCCTTCAACTCCACTAATTCCAATTCCAATATCTGCTTCTTGAAGCATTCCTACATCATTTGCTCCATCACCAATTGCCAATGTTGTTTTCTTTGTTCCATCTTTAACTAGTCTTGTTACCTGTAAATTCCAAGAAAAAAATGTTAAATCGTTTTGGCTAAGCTTAGAAAAACATAAAACTTACTTGTACTTAACTTTTGTTTCAAACAAGTTGGATTTGTTACTTTGTCCTTTTAGTTATTTTTAAAGTAAATCTTAACTTACTATCAGAGCAAGCAACTTATTTTCAACTTTGACCAAGGTTTAAAACTTACTTATTTACTTATGAGTAAACTTTAAAAACATACAAACAACCGAGCCAAAAAAGGGGCAGTTAAGAGGTTATTACCAGTGCTTTTTGTTTCGGTGATGAACGGCAGCATATTACAGAAGCACAGCCAATTGCAAGTTCAAGAAATAACATTTTGGTATCTTCTTCTAATGCATATGCAAGAGATTTCCCATCAACGATCAGGGCAAATGCTTCAGAGCTTGATGCAGTAACCTGAAACTTTCCGTTCATAATCTGCTGAAGGACACTTTCCCTCGAAGCCTAACAGAAAAATGAATTGCAAACTCTTTCAGTACCGCATATTATAACTATCCAAGAAGCTCTCGCTTTTTACATCAGCATTTTACAGTTTTCCCCATCAGAATGAGAAAGTAAAAAACAGGACATACATGTACCTTAGTAACTGCATCCTTATCTCCCGTTTTCTCCAGTTCTATGATTTTTGGAGTTTCTAAGTTTATAATAATCTGTTTCATTCCTTGTCTGAGCAAGCTACAAGCATACCTGCAGAAAATGAAATCTTGAGTCAGCAATTTTGGGACAACAAAATGTCAGAAAAAGTTAGTTTTACAGAAATTGTACCGAGAATATACCCAATGTTAATAGCAGTTTCCATCTTATCTCCAGTAAGAACCCATATTTTTATTCCTGCTTGTGCAAGTTTATCAATGCATTCAGGAACCTGCCACAATCAAAAGTAGAAAAATAAAATTAATGTCCATCTCTGTGCCTTTATATATTGGTCCATTACTGTTCTATAGGAAAATTTAAAACCTCACCCCCTGTTGGAGCTTGTCCTCAACAGCTGTTGCTCCAAGAAGAATCAAATCTTTTTCTACTTTTTTTGCCACTTCGTCAATCATTTCCTCACGATCTGCACTGACCGAGTTTTTTGCCTCTACAAATTTTTCGTTGAACGCCTTATATTCTTCCTCACTGAGTTCCCGATAAGCAAGTATTAAGGTCCTCAAGCCTGCATTAGCATACTCATTTACATGTTCTCTCGTTTCCTCTTCGAACTTCCTTCCATTTATGGAAAGCCTCTCAAACATGACACTGCAATGCCAAAAAACGACAAAAAAGGATTAAGATTAGATATTAGGAAAAAAAAATAATGGTCTAGGAAACAGCTGATATCAGAGGTAAGGAATTGACAAACCTGTCAGCACCTTTGCAGAGTAATAGCAGCTTTCCTTCCTCGTCCCTTACTATCACGGACATTCGCTTTCTTGTGCTGTTGAATTCTAATACATTTAGAAGTTTGTATGACCTGCATAATCGGAAAATCCTTTTAGAATATGTTTGAATATTGCTTGATCAATGAATTCTAAATCCAGTGTCTTGTTTATGGAGTGTTTGTACATCTTTTTCATTAATCATTTGCACACATAAAATAAGAATGCTAAATACATTGTTATCAGGCACGAAGAAGAAAGCATTAGCAGGGGAAAAAATGTTCTTTGCTTTCTCTTAGTTTCCAGATAATTGATTGTCCAGAGGCATTGCTACACATGCTCTAAAAATAGAAAGATAATAGATATTTTGCATGTATGCAATGGAGATATAAATGTTGGAGATTCCAGAATAAAGAGAAGGAGAAATGTAATCTAGATGCACTCGACATACTGACCTCTCAACTCTTTTCCCTGACATGGGATCCAGCTCGTTCACCGAGACACTTGATTGTGTTCTATTGAAGAATTCAAAGCCAAGTTCTTTTGCAGCAATCACAAAAGCGGCCTCATCTGGTGACTCGGCTTCATACGTGACCTTCCCAGTTTCTTCATCTACATCAGGAATGGCTGTATGACAAACTGCTAGCAAATGAAAAAATTTCTGAATTACATCTGAATGGGGCTCATTCACCCAATTCCCGTTCATTATCCTGTCATCGTCAAAATTGAAACCTTTGATGGATGAATGATTAGCACCATGAGCAGGATTGTCAACATAATCTTTTCCATTTACAATGAGAGGAGAACCATTTCTTTTAGCCATAGCCTTCTCAACTTCCGTAACCCCATATCCATATGCAGTTCCGGCCACCGAGCATTTGATGAACTCCATTGAATTGCAAGTCAATGTGCCCGTTTTGTCAGAAAGTATTGTATTAACTTGGCCCAGTTCCTCGTTCAAATTCGAGGTGCGAGCATGTGCTGGTTTATCAGTTTCCTCATAGTACATATGAATGTCTTGATTAATGAAGATGCTCTGAAGAACTTTGACAATTTCTATTGACACATACAGAGATATTGGTATCAAGTAACTGTACAGCAACAAAGCTGTCAGAAAATGATAAATAGCAGCCATCGGGGCTCTTTCGGGATCAAAGAAAATGTTAGCACTTTCCGGTTTCAAATACCATCTCTTATGTCTGCCCTCCAAGTCATCTCTTGTTACAATCCCAAAGTAAACAGATCCAATAAAAGCCATCGTGAACAAAACACCAAATAAGAAGTAGATGATCTTATCCATTTTCTTCTCAATTTTGCTTCTCTTGGAAGGAGGATCAGTCGAGTTCTGAATAACCTTTGTGTCATGACCCGTAAAGACAACGGCTCCGTATATGTAGTCTGTGTTTCGCAGTTTAGAGTCTCGAAGGAGCAGTTGTTGAGGAGAAAGAGGATGCTGTTGTTCATCGAATTCCATACTTCCAACGAAAGCGTATAAATTTGCATTCGGATCTTCACATTTAACTGTGGCCCTAAAATCACGGAGATTTTCATCACCATGTAAATATGAAGTATCCTCCAATGCTTGTTTTAGTTTTAAATTTGTCTCTCCATCAAGGTTCATAGTTTCAACGTAGCATATGGCATCATCATAACTGGACGAAAGCAAAATTAGGTCTGCCGGAAAGAATTCATCCTTCTCTACCTTAACTATATCACCGACACTTATATTTCTCCATTCAGTATGGTCAAAAACTCCTCCCCCACGATGTACCTTGACCTTCCTATTGTTCATCTCAATATCCTAGAAAATTTACATTTGCGAATTAGACTACAGAACAAATACGCACAAACATTAGCGGATTGTAAACAAAAATTAGCTTTACATGCACGTTACAATAGGCCAGATGTTAAGGCACTTAACACTATTGAAATTGTTATCAACATCTTTTAACTTCAATCAAAGATTATTATTGTTATTGCAAATAGAAAAATTGAAACAACTCATTGTATTTTATATGCAAACCAAAGCTAATCAAAACTACTTATTTGCAAGTCAATCAGATTATTCATTTTCATTGCCGGTATTTTCAACTTCACTTCTCGCAGCAAAATCCGAAAACTTGAAAAAATCGTAACAAATTAAATCTCAAACAGGAAGATAGTTTGATTTCCATATGCCATTCAATCATTTCAGCTCTAAAGAACTCCTCAAGAAATATACTTCTACAAGTTTAATCACCAAGTACCTGTTGTTTTCGCTGCCAGTCTTCAATACCTTCTTTCACCATTGTCGCGCTGATGACTATAATGAGGGGAATAACTGCACTAACAGCAGAATAAGGTGCAAGATCTGTGAAGGACAATATGCCAGTAACAAGAAAGTAAAAATTAGCCACTCTCCTAAACTGCTCAAACAGAGATTTAGGCAAGAAACTCGCAGCAGTATACTTAGTTGTTCTAACATAATTGCTTGCATAATTCCTAGAACTGGCCTCAGAATCACTTGGTTCGTTACAATACACCACTCTTGAAAAACCAGGCCCCCCAATTTGTGAATGATCATCTTTGAATTCTCCCTTCCTACGCCTAAATGAATAGATTTTGCTTAAATGAATCTTCTTTCTTCTATCATTTCCCATTGCTCTTCAAATTCTTAACTCAACTTAACAATAATTTCAGCTCAGATAACGCAGATTCTTCGAGAAAATGTATTTTTACCCAATACCGGAAACCAATAACTCCCTTTAAAATAAATTTTTTTCCCCCTCCCAACAGCTAATGAATACAAACCCAATTGTCAAAAAATAAATTAATTAATTAAAACAGGAGTTGAAGAGGAATTTCAACAAAAATGGCTTGTACGAACAAGAAGCAGAGACCCAAAGAAAGAAAGAATGACAAGCATAAGACTACAAGAATTGAAAGAAAGCAGCTCCAAATTTAGCTGAAAGAATTAATGTTTCTAAGATGGAACTAAAAATGGGATGTGTATCTGTGTATATACTGAAGAGGAAGATACGAAGAAGGATATAGGAAATACACAGAAATAATTCAGCAATTTGATTTGATTTTTTCTTCATGGGCTTACAATTTTGAACGTTGACTTGTATATTTGGATGTGTGTTTTCTAGACGCTCATTTACGTGCCTTTCAGAAATATTCAAAACTTGACTATTCTTTACAAAAACCCACCCTTCTAGTAGTTTTCAGGAAAAAATACATGTGAAAGTATAAAAAATGTAGAGAAAAAATAGAATGGGAAAGGTGGTGAAAGAAGAGTAATAAATATATCAGTTTTGTTACCTTATTCCATGATTGACAGTTTTGTTTACACTCTTTGACATGACACATAATTTTACCATTGATTTTAACAACACTTATTCAAATCAATGGTTTCGATTTTGATAGGGTGTCAAACTAGTTGAACCCATGGTTTAATTCTATTTAATATTCATTAATTTGAACTTCAATTAGTCAAACTTGCATAACGAAATTTCCCTACAATGCTAGCACAATTTTTTTGATTTTATGGGAATGGTTTTTAAGTTTGTGTGGAAAATAAAAATGAAAAAAGGATGGTTCTATCAATAATGTTGTCAAAATACGCGAAATAACACGTAAAGCTGTGAATAAGTCAAATGAATTCAAGAACTAAAGAGGGAAATTAGTTTTTTTTTTTTTAATTAGTGAAAAAGGGTAAAGATTTTCGAATTATACTGCTTATACATAAAAAAAAAAAAAAAATGTTATATGAGGAATTACACAAAATGATGTGGATGGAAAACATTGAATGAAAAAATTGACTGTATTTGAAATTGGCAAGTGATAAAATGTCGCGTGACATTATGTAATTCTTTGTGTACATATAATAAGATCCAAGATTTTTATGGTTCAAATATGACTAAAGGAGGTCTTACGAGGGGTAGCAACATTTGATATGATGTAGCTCCAACCTTAATATGAACTTTTAAATTTGTTAGATGCACGTAACTTTTTTACATATTTTATTTCATGTTTTTGGGTACATCGGAAAAAATGGAAAATTAACAAAAACAACTCTTCTCATGTCGCTGAAGAGGGAATTTCATGAATTTCAATTAATTATCATGAACGACCATATTATTATCCTCCCATCTCTCTCAAGATAATTTAGATACGATTCGATAAGATTGATAGAATGATGAATAAGCATGTTACAGAATGTGTGTTTGAATCTCATCAAAATGAGAATAAAATTTTTGGAATAATGTTTGATAGGATAATGTGTGGTGGAAAAATAATGAAAATTTTTAGATTTGTGTATAGTATTATTTTATTTGGAGAATGTATTGTTGATATGAAGAAATAAAAAAATAAATAAACAATAATGAGAATGAGAATGAGATTAAAATGGGTGTCAAACGGGGCATACTTCGTCTCTCTCTTTCAATTTTCAATCTTAATGTGCCTTATTCATTTAAAATACAAATCACTTTTAATTAGTATATTAACATTTTTCACTACTTCATTAACAAATAAAAATTCGTTTTTTAATCAGTGGACGGATGAAATGAGAATTTTCTTATAATTTACTTGAATTTTAAGAAAAGTAAAATTATAGTAAATAAATTGATATGAAGTGTAAAAAATAGGAATTGAGATGTGCTGTCCAATTTTTATTCTCCACCCAATTAATTATTGACATGTCATTTCTAAATTAATATGTCCAACTTTTCTCAAATCCCTCCTTATACTTATAAATATGTGACATTTTAATGTAAAATGATGTGTTAATAACTAATTGATTGATAGCAAATTGGACAATAAAAATTGATTCTAAATTAACGTGTATACTGTAAAATAATGAGATAATTCTATATGATTATTTAGTGTTATCATGATTCATAGATAAGTCTTATCTAGTGTAGAAAGTCTATTTCATTCCAATTGTAACTCTCATTTTAAATCATATAAATATAGATCTTGATTCGCAATAAAATATATACTTTAGTTTTAACTCTTATATTTTCTTCTCTTCTTGTTTTATTATTTTTATTTCATAACACGTTATCAGCACGATTCTCGAAAAAGATAGAAAATTAGTTTGAAAGTAGTCTATATTCAATCTCAATGAAAGGCATTATTTATTTTTTTTTATTGTCGCATACACACATAATTAATTTTTAACACAACGTACATGTATAATCTTAGAATTTATAAATATTCATACTCAAATTCGTTAATATTTGTATGCATATTTGTACTCAATTTTCATTATGTCCAATTAATGCTCCAATTGGTTTCTCCCACATTTTATAAATACATGTAATTGGTTTCTGTCTAATTTTTCTTCACACCCAAATTTTTGGAATCCAATCACCCTATTTAATTGTGTTATTAAGTATACTCAAAATCCAATCGTGTATTGTGCATATCTCTCAATATGATTACATGCTGCTAATGATTACGTATGTGTCCCTTAATTTTTTTTTATTACAAAATAGTGCGGCTACGTGAATATATTTTCTATTAAATCATTATGCGGGTTCCTTGATTTATTTTTATTTATGTTTGAAAATATATATTTAAGATGATTATTGAATATTTTTATGTGTTTAACCTGATTATATATTTGTAAATGTTCTTCTATAAATTTAATTTATCATGTTGTTACTCCTAAAGTTGTACAACATTATAATTAATATTCTAGAAAAATATTAATCGTAAATCAGTTTATTATAAATAGTTCGTTGTTGCTCCTGAAATAGAATAACATTATAATTAATATTTCAAAAGAATATTATTTGCTCCTGAAGAGCATTAATTATATTTTTCAATATTCCAAAAGAACATTGACATATTGGTCTTGAAAAAATAATAGTAAAATATAACGTGCTCCCGAAATATCACATATCTCGAAAAACATATTATTTTAAATTAGTGTTTATGCTTGAAGGAAAATACATAACTTATGTCATGTTAATATAGACTACTTGATGTTTAATCATATTTTTCGAAATTAATTATAATTCTTTTTGCTTTATTGTGTAGGTAATCAAATGGCAAATATCACAAAACTTGAGTTTGTTGTACTTGAATATCTGGCAAAAACTATTTGTCATGAGTACTCGATCCTAATATGCATCTTGTCTCAAAAGGTTTTGGAGAGACAATAAAAAGATGGAACAAATAATCCTTACAGGATCGTACAAAAACACTCATCTTCACGATTGATTGAAAATTGAATATCTTACCGAGATAAATCCACAAGTTCTTTGGGAAAAAAAATTAACTAAAAGCCCGCTACGAGTGGATGCACCTTCGTTTGCAAGATTTCAAAACTGTTAGTAAGTACAATTCTGAACCATTCAAAATACGTTCAAAATTGACCTTGTATAGAGAAAAAATCACTGATGAAGATATATTGAAGAAAACTTTTTTTCACCTTTCATGCCTCGAAGGTGCTCTTGTAGAAGCAATATCGTGAGCGTGGTTTCAAAATGTACTCAAAACTCATATTTTGCATGATAGTGGCTGAACAAAATAATGAACTACTGATAAAAAGTCATGGATTACTTCCAACCGGCTCTGTACCATTGCCTGAAGCAAATGGTACTGCATTGCATGAAGCAAACACAATATCAAGACAAAGATGTGGACAATGATTTGGACGTGGGCGTGGATACAGACGTGCACATGGAATAAATCATGAATGAAATAATCAACAAAACTTAGCAACAAGGCAATAATTTCACAAGGCACAAAGTAAACAAAAGTAACACATCCAAAAAGGAGCATGGAGAAAGTTGTTCTAGATGTGGAATGAAAGGGTATTGGACACGTACCTATCGTACGGCAAAACACCTTGTGGATCTCTACCAAAAATCAATCAAGGGAAAATGAAAAGTGGAGACAATTTTTTGTTTATTTTCCACGGCTAGACTACTTGCTCAAATATAAATTATGAGAGCAATTTCCCGATTACTCTATCAAGATGTCTTGATAATGCTGGTGAATTTAGATCACAAGCATTCAATGATTATTGCATTCAATTGGAATTGTTATTGAACATTTGGTTGTGCATGTCTATACACAAAATGATTTAGCGAAGTCATTTATTAAACATCTACAACTTATTGTTGGACCATTACTTATGAAAACAATACGCTCAGCTTCTGCTTGGGACCATGCCATATTACACGTTGCGTTATTAGTTCGTATATGACCAGCTGCATATTATCAATATTCATCTTTGCAACTGACATTTGGTCATAAACCTAATATTTCTCACCTCTGGGTTTTTTGTTGTGCTGTTCAAGTCCTTATTTCACCCCCACAACGGACTAAAATGGGTCCTCAAGGAAGACTTGAAATTTATGTGAGTTTTGATTCATAATCTATTATTAGGTATCTAGAACCTTTAACGAGTGATTTATTTACTTCACGTTTTGCAAATTGTCATTTTGATGAAATGACTTTCCCAACTTTTGGGGGGAACTACACTCCGATAAAAAATGTAAAATTTTTTGGAATGAAACAACTCTATCTCACTTTAATACCTGCAACAATCAATGTGAGCAAAATGTTGAAGAAATCATTCATTTGCAAAGAGTTGCAAATCAATTACTAGGTATATTTATTGACACAAGATAAGTGACAAACTCATATATACTAGCAGAAAATATTCCAGCAAAAATTGATGTCCCTGTAGGACAATTTGATGTAGCAAATGAATCTCAAATACGCCAAAAATGTGGTCGACCAATTGGTTCAAAATACTCTGTATCTCGAAACAGAAAAGTACAAGAGAAAAATCAACCAAAAATTTCAGAAGAAGTAACACTAGAAAATATTGATCAATCAAATATTTTAAATATGGTACCTGAAGAACTACAAATGTTTGAAAATAATGAGATTTCAATAAAATATATGCTATTTCATAAATTATTGGAACGAAATAATGTTGTTATAGACAATATAATCGCATTTAACATGACTCTTGATATTATGCAAAATGAAGATCATGAACCACAGTCTGTTAAAGACTGTCAACATAGAAATGATTGACCAAAGTAGAAAGAAACCATATATGCGGAATTGAATTCCTTATAAAAACGAAAAGTGTTTGGACAAATAGGTCGAACACCTAAAAATGTAATCCATGTTGGATACAAATGGGTTTTTATACAAAAGAGAAAAATGAAAATAATAAAATTACAAGATACAAAACTCGACTCGTAGCTCAAAATTTCTCACAAAAATCAGAAATTGATTATGAGGAAACATATTCTCCCGTAACGGACACCATCACTTTTAGATTATTAATCAGTTTGACGTGTCACAAATGCTTGATATCCACCTTATGTATGTCGTGACTGCCTATTTGTATGGTAAGTATATGAAAGTCTCTGAAGGACTTAAAGTGCGAGAAACAAATGATACATGCTCGAGAACCATATTCTCAATTAAAATGCAAAGATCATTATATGGATTGAAACAATTCGAACACATGTGGTATAATCGCCTCGTCGAATATTTGTTGAAGAAAGATTATAAAAATGACGATATCTATCCATATGTTTTCATAAAGAAAACAAATATTTGATTTACAATTGTGACAATTTATGTTGATAATTTAAATTTAATTGGAACTTCTGAAAAACTCAAAAAAACTGCAAATTATTTGAAAAATGAATTTCAGATGAAAGATTTGGAAAAAAAGAAATTCTGTCTCGGGTTACAAATTAAACATTTCTTAGAATGATTATTTGTTCATCAATCTATATATACAGAAAAAGTTTTAAAACGTTTTTATATGGATAATGCACATACACTGGTATCGTCTATAATTGTTCAATCACTTGAAGATGGAGAAAAGGTTTTTGGTCCTAGAATACCATATCTTAGTGCAATTAGAGTATTAAATTATCTTACAAACTATACTCGACTCGACATAGCTTTTTCTGTAAATCTCATTGCAAGATAGCTCTACACCAATACAAAGACATTGAAATTGTTTTAAACATATTTTTCGTTACCTAAAGGGTACTATTGATTTGTAATTATTTTATTCTTAAAAGTCGGTATCTAATTTAGTGGGATATGCAGATGTAGGTTATCTCTCTGACCCATATAAAGTTAAATCACAAATAGGTACATGTTTACATGTGGAGGACCAGCTATATCATGGAGATCTGTGAAACAATCATTGACAGCAACATTCTCAAATCATTTTGAAATTATTGCAATCCATGAAGTATGCTGAGAATGTGTATGGTTGATAAACATGACACATCATATCCAAGCATCATGAGAATTAATTTTAACAAAAGATAGTGCAACAATTTTGTATGAAGGCAATGTTGCTTGTATAGCACAACGCAGAGGAGGTTATATTAAAAGTGACAGGACGAAACATATTTCTCCAAAAAAAATTCATACATATGAGTTTCAGAAGAATGACAACATCGATATTCAACAAATTCATTCAAATGACAATGGAGCCGATTTATTTATAAAAGCACCGCCAAATCCACATGCAAAAAAATTGGCTTACAAGATTGGAATGTATCGACTCAAATATTTCAATGATCAACATCAGAGAGAGTAGTTGTACTCTATTTCCTTCGATTAGGTTTTATCACACTAGGTTTTCCTAGCAGGGTTTTAATGAGCCAACATTTATTTTTAGTAATGTAAAATAACTGTACAATTTTTTCCTTTGTTTGATTTTTTATCTCATTGATTTTTTATCAAACAATGTTTTAACGAAGCGGTTATTGTACAAATAATCATCAAATGAGAGTGTTGTAAAATAATGAGATAATTATATGTGATTATTTAGTGTTATCATGATTCATAGATAAGTCTTATCTAATATAGAAAGTCTATTTCATTTCAATTGTAACTCTCATTTTAAATCATATAAATACAGGTCATGATTCTCAATAAAAAAAAAAAAATTTGAGTTTTAACTCTTATAGTTTCTTCTCTTCTTGTTCTATTATTTTTATTTTATAACAGTGTCAAACTTTTCTTTAATTACCCCTTATGTTTAAAAATATGTGACATTTTAATATAAAATGACGTGTCAATACCTAATTGATGAACAAAAAATTGGACAACAGATCTCAATTCAAAAAATACTAGTTTATTTTCTATCTTCTCTAATTTTATACAGTTTACCCATCGTCCACGTCATGAGTCTTAACCAATTTTAGTGTAGATTAAAATCAAATATTTAGTATATTTTAACAAAAGTTAATAAAAATATGTAATTGAAAAGTTATGAGTGACATAAAATATATAATTATTGATTTTAACTCGAGATTAAAATCAGATTTTAATCTATGCCAATCTTAGGCTTATATCAACAGTAGAGAATATGCACTTTTGATATTCATGCGCCCACGTTTTACATAATTTTAAAAGTTTAAACAATTATTCTACTACCTTACATAACATGTTGAGATTATTTATTTAACTACTATGTTCAAAGAATCAAATCCACAAAGAAATTATTTAATTTAGAGTTTCAAAGAAAGTAGACGTGTTATTGGATAATAAGGTGACTGCTTTTTAGGTTTTCTTGACAGTGATTGCATGAAATTTTCAGTTAATTAATTATTTTTACAAAGACAAATTAATTCGATTGATTATGGCATCTAGAAACACCCTGAGAGTCGCACACTTGCTTTACAAAAAACGTCAATCCGCGTATTAATTTAAATTAATTAATTTCTACACGTCAAAGTTGATTTTTTTGGCTCAACTTGCATCAGGGTTTTAATTTTCAGTCTCCCCTCAACCAGTTTTTGAGCCATCTAGTTGCACATAATATTAGATTATAAATTTATAATCATTATATTAATATCTCAGAATTTAAGCCCTATTTGGGGATTAAAATTTAGATTTTAATCTAAATCAATAATAATAATTAATTTTAATCACATATTTCATGAGATCCACAATTTTTCAAACACACATTTCATCAACTTTTATTAAATTACACTAAAAATCTGATTTTAAATTCCCTTCAATCAGAGGCTAAATTTCATTTCAAGTTAGACTTTTAATAAAGAATTGATTTTCAAAAGTATATGAGTATGCGTGTTTTGAAGGAAAAAAAAATCAATTCAAAAACCTAGATAAAAAAATATTTTTCTCATTATTTTATCTATATTTTGTACTCCTCAACTGTAAATTTAAATTTCTATATTACTAAAGAAAATTGACAATTTCAAACAATATTATTTTCTCTGTAACTGAAATCTAAATTGCAGAGGTGCGTGTTGGCGATGGTTGAATTTTCTGTGATAAATATTAGGTCCTACAATCGTACGTAAAAGTTGACTTTCATAAAATCCCTAGAGTTTTTTTTTTTGAGGGAACAAGCAAATTTCATTAATCATTCATATTAGAAACATCATAGTTCACCATATTAACAATGAACTCTGGTACCTCTTCACAACACATAAAATCATGCCTAGAATTTTTCACCAGTAGCGCTAATTCATGAGCCACCTGATTGGTCAGTCTTGAAGAGCGTCGAATAAGACAGTTCCCATTCGAGCCATGAGAAGTCTGCAATCCTCAGCTACATTCAGCACAGGACAAAATGGAAAATGAAGGTTGATGATTTGGACCGAGAACAGTGAATCCGTTTCTGCAATGTGAACCCATAACCCAATTTCTGCTGCAGATTCCAGTCCCTCTGTGATGGCTAACATTTTCGTTGTGAGTGGAGAATAATTTCCATTCACGACTTTGCCCAGCAATCCCATTACCTCCCCACGATGATTACAAATTACAACCCCAATGGATATCACCCCTTCCGGTTCACTGCTGCATCAATATTGAGAATAAGTTCATCCGTCGGTGCGGTTTTCCCAAACCTTCCACAAGAAACTCCACGTTGGATTGCAATTCCCAACTCGGCACCTTAAGAGATAACCGTGTGGCCTGAAAGTCTGCCAAATATTCTTCCAATTTTTCACATTGATGTTGCACTAGAGGGATACTTCTACCGGATACAAAGCATTCCGATCACTCCAAATTTGCCATGCCGTCATTCACAGTTTCTAAAACTCATTCATTTTCGGCCTATGATATGCAAACAGTGTAAATTTCGAAAATTCTGAGCCCTGGAAATCATGAATCAATTTTCCCATACCAACTTGGCTCCACATGGCATACGCTCGATCACATCAAATTAAAGCATGGGAGGTAGTTTCATAGTCCAGATGACATATATCACAAACCGTGGAAATAGGCGCATAGCGGCGTGAGAAGTTGATAAAGCTAGGAATAATATCGTTAAAAGCTCAATACATGAATGCCCTGACTTTTGGCGGAATATTCAATACCCATAAATATTTTTACTATTTAGCACCAAAATTGTAGCTCTACTCACCTCCGACACATGATTCTTCATTGAAAATGCCAACCAGTATCCAGATTTAACACAATATTCACCATGCTTGGAGTGTCTCTATATCAGATAGTCAGGGATCGGGAATTTTCCAAGAGGGATACTTCGGATAGCCTCCCTGTCTATCAAGTTGAAGCACTCTTCTAATAAGCTTAAGTTCCACTTCCTTTCAATTATAAGGTCAGAGACCGTATGGATCTGTGACACTGCCTTTGCCATGGACTTGAAAGATACTGCCTTGGGGATCCATGGGTCATGGAAAGCATAGATGGACAACCCATTGCCCACCCTCCAGACAATTCCCTTCAATAGAAGTTCACACCCCCACATGAAGCTTGTCCGTAGGAACGACCCGTGTCTTCGAACATGTTCTGATAACATGTGCTCATTATAGTAATACTTACATTTAATGACCCGGCTTACCAATGAGTTAGGATTCTGAAGAATGCACCTGACTTGTTTTGCCAAAAGTGCTTGATTAAAACATTCAAGGTCTCTAAAGCTCATCCCACCATCTGCCTTATTTTTGCATGCATGAGACCATTTATGCCAATGTAATCTTCGTTTCGTATCTGATCCACCCCACCAAAAATGACGCCATCATTTTCTGGACCCCTTCCGTACAAGATGCGGGAACTCTAAATATACCCATAACATAGGTTAGAATGGCATGGATCACCGCTTTAAGGAGTACTTCCCGACCGCTATAGGAGAACTGGTTACGCTTCCAAGTTTGCACTTTCTTCCACACTCTATCTTTTAGGAATTGAAAAATTTCAGCTTTCGTTCGTCCAATAAAAGATGGCAACCCCATGTATTTGTCATGTGGTCTGGCTGTTTCCAACCAAAAAAGCTCAAGAATACTATGCTTTTGATGATCAGGGACATTCGGGCTAAAAGCCATGTTCTAAAAAGCGTCAAAATGCGCCGCTTAGGCGCGTTTAGTCGCGATGCGGACAGAAAACGCATTGAATCCGAGAAATGCGCGAAAAATGCGTTTTCTATCTATAAGGCGCACCTAGGCTGGATAATGCGCGCCTAGGCGTACCTAATGCGTGCATAATGCGCGCCTGGGCGTGCATTATCCCGCCTAATCCCTTTTTAATTTTTTTTTTTATGATATAATAAAAAATCTATTTAATGTCTTAAAAATAATTAAAATAATATTAAAAATA